AGGGGCAGTGGGGGTGGGGGCTGGGCACAAGGGGTGAAGGGAGTCATATATATGGTGATGGACAAACAAAAATGTACAACCCAAAATTTCACAATGTTAGAAACCATTAAAACATCAATAAAAAAAATGTCATCTGTTGAGATAAGTTCCTTTTACATCTATTTTATTCAGAGTCTTTATGATAAATAGACACTGTATCTTGTTTAATGCTTTCTCTGCATCTATTGAGATGATCATGTGATTTTTATTCTTCATTATGTTAATGTGGTGTATCACATTGATTCATTTATGGAGGTTGAAGCATCCTTGCATCCCTGGAATAAATCCCACTTGATAATGGTGTACAATATTTTTACCGTATTGCTTTATTTTTGATTTGCTAATATTTTGTTGAGGATTTTTGCACCTATTCATCAGTGATATTGGCCTGTAATTTTCTTTTTTTGTGTTGTCCTTGTCTGGTTTTGGCACCAGGGTAATGTTGGCCTCATACAATGAATTAGGAAGTGTCATGTCCTCTTAAATTTTTTGGAAGAGTTTAAGAAGAGGTATAAAATCTTCTTTGAATGTTTAGTAGAAGTCACCAGGGAAGTCATGCAGTCCTGACTTTTGTTTTTTGGGAGGTTTCTGATTACTGTTTTGATCCCCTTACTAGTGATCAGTCTATTCATATGCTAAATTTCTTCTTGGTTCAGTTTTCAAAGGTTGTATAATTCTAAGAATTTATCCATTTCTTCTGGATTATCTAATTTTTTGACATATAAGTTTTCACTGTTTCTCTTATAATCTTTGTATTCTGTGGTATGGTTGCAATTTCTTCTCTTTATTTTCTAATTTTATTTACTTGAGCCTTCTCTCTTTCTTTGTGAGTCTACAATTTATAATTGTTAATACTCAGGGCATTCTGTCTCAAGTAAAATATGTGTCCAATGCTTTCAGCAACAGCATGTCTTTTTCTAACGTTAATCCAGACAATGTTGACACTCACTGAGAACCAGGACAGTGAGGTCAGAAAACCCATAACCACTCCTGAGATCTTACCTTCCATTCCTCTTATGGATACTGACTAATATAGATGTCAGGTCCTGTCTTCCCTATATCCCATATCCAGCTCCCATCCTGCTCACCTCCAGGGTTAGGGTGTCTCCTGCATCCTTCCTTCCATTCCTGTGTGCAGCTTTTCTAAGTTCCTTTAAGCCCTCCTCAGGTTTGTTGGTGATAATCAGCCACCGAGCAGACTCCAACAGCCACCTGATCAAAGAACAGAACAGAGATGCAGTTAACGCTCATTTACCCATTTTTCACATAACCTTTGTCCAGAGATGGGAAGGGGTTCTGCATACGTCACCCAAAATATGCTGCTTTGGCATATTGATGACTTGAGCTGAAGACACTTGAGAAACAGCAGATGCAGGAAGAACTCTCTGTCTTCCCCCTTTCTACCTAAACGTAGGTCATCAAATTTTACATGAGAAGATGCCCTTCCTGTGCCAGGAAGAGAAGAACATTCTTATCACCAGAGACTGGGAGTTGACACTGAAATGGATGTGTAGAAACAAACACTAGAATGATTCATTTTCCCAAAGTTTCCCAATATTTCTTAGTCACAGTCCCACAAATTACCGCCCCTGGTCCAAGTCACTTTGTCTTGCCACAGCTCCTCAATTTAAAGATTTTTTTGGGTGTAAAAGTGTATATATGTTTTTGGCCTAATGATTTCTTTGGGTCTTCATTTTTCTTCTGAAGACTCCTGTGTACATGAAAAAATATTAAAGAAATTTGTTTGCATTTCTCTTGTTAATCTGTCTTATGTCATCTTAATTCTTAGACCATCCACAGAACCTAAGAGCATAGAAGGAAGTTTCTCCTCCCCTGCTGATATCTTTTCCCTCCAATCTAATACCCACCAATGTTTGTTTATACCAGAAAATATAAATTTACTTCCTCGTATGTGATAACTAGGAAAAATATGAGGATGTTACATTAATGCGGTACACTTTTGCTGCTGTGAACACAGACTTGGAGTCATATTGGCTTCCCTCTTATTCAGAGGAAGTGCCAATTTTAGCAACTAAAAGTACAGTGTGCCTAGTTAAATTTGTATTCAAATAAACAGTGAATAACACTTTAGTATAACAATGTTCTGTGCAATACTTGGAACCACTCATACTAACATTTTATTGTTTATTTACCTCAAATTTGAATTTAATGGGACATTCCATATTTTATCCAGTTAGCACCTAACAATAGAGAACTCTCAGATAAAAAGAAATTTCACAAAATCAATGAATAATTTTCAGTGTAACTGTCTGCCATTTAATATTTAGAATATTATTATAAAAAATATTTGTTGTTTATCTGAAATCCAAATTTAAGTTAGTGTCTATGATGTAGTCTGGCAATGCTGTCTGTTCAGCTTCTGGAATCACACAAATTAGTAGAGCACATGCTCAAGCATTGACCAAAGACCAAACAGAATTCCTGTGTCCTGATTCCATGACTCTTTCATTCCAGGATCCTCTAAAACTAAGAGAGAGCTTATACCTTGAAGACAGAAGGATGGCAAATACTGGCAAAGAGACCACCAGCTGGAGGGTGCGCCAGTCTCGAATGGCAAAAGCCAGACCTCCTAATAATATCTGCCCGATACTATTTGCACAGGTTTTCGTTGTCATTCCCGCGGCTTGGTATCGGGGCACTGTCCATTCTACAACTGAAAGAAAACACAAACAGGATTTTGACTTTAAACAAAGGTGGAATGTCAACATCAAAGTCAAGGCTTGCAAAATGTACAAGATCAAAAGCTTTGACTTACTGAGAAAAGTACTATTTAACATGATGGTCGTGACAGAAAGGCCAGCGAAGAAGCGTAGTGAGCAGTAAATGAGGAAGGTGGGAGCAAAGGCTGCACAGGTGTCAGCAATGGCAAACTGGAGCAAACACCATCTGAGTATTAACCTCCTCCCAAACCTGAGAAACAGATACGGGTTAGATTATGGAACAAAAACAATCTATTGTAAAAAGAAGCGTGAAAAAGACGGCACATATTGAAATTCAGGGAATGTTTCGGCAAGTGAAACTTTGCACTTAAAACCTTAAATTTTCAACAGATAATCAACAACAGATCATCTCAGAAGCAACCCTCCCTGTTTGTAAATAGAGACTGAGTGTAACAAAGCTTCTTCTCTAATCTGTTACCAGTAGATCTTTGACACCAATTGAAACAAAATAAGACAGACTGCAATACTGGAAATTTTAACACATCATAAATGTTCCTTGTAGTAACAGATGGATTTAGAATAGTACAGTCTGTATAGTGTCTAGAACACAGTGGAGCTACATCTTTTCTTTGGACTCTAGGGCCCTGCAGGCTAAGGCAAAGTGACGTGAAAGGTCTCCTTCTGTTATGGATTCCTAGTTTCATACCATTGGTCAGAAAAGACACTTGATATTATTTCAAACTTTTAAATTTCCTAAGAGTTGTTTTGTGAACTAACAAATGATCTATGCTGGAGAACATTCCATGGGCACTTGAGAAGAATGTGTATTCTTATTACTCTCATGCTGCTTTTTCTAATTGATTCAGATACTTCTCATAGAATTTCGTCACTTCTTAAAATTATTAGTTCTCTCTCCTCTTCCACATGAATCATTTCTAGATTTCTTTGAGCTCCCTACTTCTGTCTTCCTCATGGCCTACTTTATTTCCAATGCTTTTTACTTTGTTTTCTCTCTTTAATTGGGTTATTTTCTCCAGAATTTTTTTTTTTTTTTTAGAGTTTCAGTCTCTTTGGTGAAGTACTCCTTCTATTCGTTAGTTTTATTCCTGAGCTCATTGAGTTGTCTTTTTAAGTTTTCTTACATGCATTGAGTCTCTTCATGACAGCTGTTTTGAATTCTCTGTCATTTAGATTGCAATATTCTCTGACTTCAATTTTGGTTTCTGGAGAGTTGTCATTTTCTTTCTGTTCTACCATGTTACTGTAGTTTTTCATGGTGCTTGATGAGTTGATCCTCTGCCAGTGCATTTGTGGTAGTATACACTTTTCTTATTTGGGTAAGGCTTTAGCTACTTGATTCTGATATGCTTTTGGTTGTATTTGAGAGCCTGCACTTTCCACCCTCACTGCCTGTGCCAGAGACATTGTCATTGTCCTACTTGTGCCTCCAAGGATGCTGGTGCCTTGCAGCTTACAATGTCACTTCAGTCTTGGGTGTCGCCTCCTGGGTCACCAGGATGCAAGCACCTCTGCTGCTTCCAGGGTCACCAGGACCTCACTTTCTCCCACTGGCTCTCTGTGGGCTCTCCACAGGCGCAGGTGCTGCTGCCCCATGCACCACCTATAATGCGGATCCTGGGTTATGTGGGGGTGCAGGCAGCACGACTGCTGGGTGCTGGATTCATGGGTCTTGCTACCACTGCCATGGGCCATGGGTCTTGTATACATCACCTGCTGCTGATAAGGCTGGTGTGGGGGTGTTGCCACTGAAGGTTGGGTCAAAGTTTCTGTTATGATTTGTGAAGCCTCAGGTCAAAGATGCTACCTGCCACTGCTGGAGGAAGGGAGAGTGGCTCAGCCATCAGCACCACTGCTGCTCCTGCAACCTCTGGTCTCCACTGCTGGTGCACATTTGAAATCTCAGATCAAAGTGCCATTGTTTCTGCTGGGGGTATCCACATTTTGGATTGCCACTACCAGGGAAGAGGGAGGGAGCTGGGCCACCAGTACTGCTGTGTTTCCTGAGCCCTCTGCCACCACTGGGAGAGGAAAAGTGGTAAGCCATGAGTGTTTCTGCTGCTCCTGCAGCCTCTGGTCTCTGGTGCTGTTGCCTCTCTTGAACCTCAGGACAGGGCACTACCACCACCACTGGGAGTATATGCGTTTTGGATCACCACCACCACTGGAGGGTGAAGGGGTTGCTCTCCTAGATCCACTGCCTTCCACAGGTCCAGTTTGTTCACCTTCAGATGTATAGATACATGGATCTCTCAGACTTTCTGATGTGCTGTGCAGGGAGTCCTTTGTTGGTCAATGGATGTCCTACTCTTGCAATGTAGAGGGGAGAGACAGAGGGAATGACTCACTCACTCTGCCATGATGCTGACATCACTCCTCTAGTTTTCTTTTCCTTTAGTGTCCTTTTCTGGCTTTGGTATCAGGATAATGCTGGCTTCATAAAATGAGTTTGAAAATGTTCCTTCCTCTTTGATTTTTTGGAAGAGTTTGAGAAGGATTAGTGTTAATTATTCTTTAAATGTTTGGTAAAATTCACCAGCAGCGATCTTACCCTGGGCTTTTCTTTGTTTGGAGATTCCTGATTTCTGATTCAATCTCCTTACTACTAATTAGTTTGTTCAGATTTTCTATTTCTTCTTGATTCAGTCTTGGTAAGTTGTATGTTTTTAGGAGTTTTTCCATTCCTGCTTGGTTGTCCAGTTCATGGCATACAGTTGTTTATAGGGACCTCTTGTATTTCTGTGGTATCAGTTGTAATGTTTCCTCTTTCATTTATAATTTTGTTGATTTGTGTCCTCTCTTTTTTTCCTTAGTTACTCTAGCTAATTGTTTGTCAATTTTGTTTATCTTTTCAAAGAACCAACTATTAGTTTTGTTAATCTTTTTTATTGTTCTCTTGTTCTATGCTTCATTTATTATTTCCTTCCTTCTGCTAAGTTTAGGCTTAGTTTTTTTTTTTATTTTTCTACTTCCTGGAAGCATTGAGTTAGGGATTTTATTTGAGATCTTTCTTGTTTCTTAGTCTATGCATTTACTGCTATGAACTTCCCTCTTAGAACTACTTTTGTTATATCCCGTATGTTCTGGTATGTTGTGTTTCCTTTGTCATTTTCTCAAGATACTTCTTTATTTACCCTTTAGTATATATTCCTTGATCCGTTGGTTGTTCCAGAGAGGTGTGGTTTATTTTAAATGTATTTGTGAATTTCTCAGTTTTTCTCCGTTATTGATTTCTAGTTTCCCTATTGTGGTCAGAGAAGATACTTGGTATCCTTTCATTCTTCTTGAATTTGAAAAGACTTGTTTTGTCTCACCCTATTGTGGTAATTGTTTCACAATATATATTTGTACAAATCTTCATGTTGTACACCTTAAACTTACACAAAGTTATATGTTAACTATGTCTCAATTAACATGGGAAAAGGAATATGGAGCATTCTAACAGCAAAAATAAACTGATGTGAAAGGAAAATCTGTGAAAGAATATGCCAAAGTTAATTACTGGTTGCATAAGAGCTGCTCTCTGCTGAGTGTGGGTTTGCTGATGTTGGACAACATGGTTCCTCTAAAGTAGAATAGAAGAGAGCCACAATCCAGACAGAAGAACTTATAGAAAGTTCTCAGAGGAAAGAATTAGGTAAGATGAAGAATGAAGAAACATAGAACTATAAGGTTAAAAGATAAATGGAAAGAAAATTCTATGTTTCACAGATTTCTGGTAAAAGGGGTCTTCCTGTAGGCAAATTTGACTAAAAAACCTGTGTTGATTCTATATGACCAGTAATACTAATGAAAGGACAAAACTTAGGATTGGGCGACTGCTCTGTAATCTCTGCTTTACCCACACTATATTTGTATTATAATACAACTGTTAAATCTTTTATAGTCTGAGTTATTATACAATATGTACTTTACTCCTATGTTTGTGTTTCAATTCTGAATGGACTAGAATCTATACAAAGAAGTGCTATGATGAAGGAAATGATGTAGTGATGATTATTGGAAAGCCTGGTCAGTTAGAATAAAAGCAGTTACATATATGATATATAATGTACTCATACAAAATGGTCACAGATAAATTTGTTAAATGTAGTGATATTCATGTTATCATGCCTTTGGTGGCAATCTGATTGTCCTTTCCCAAAAGGGGGATTAGGAACATCATGATGGAGCCACACTGTGGAGCACTATGCAGCAATTAGGAAAATAAACTGGAACTATACGTAGGAATGTGTATATGTCTCAAAAACATAGTGGTAGTTGAACAAACAAAAAAAATGAGAAAACA